GTTATGCATTAAGAGGAGGATGGTAGCAATGACATGAAGTGCTATATTTTCTCCAGAGAGGAACTAAATTGTGATGATTTTTATTAATAATGTATCATAAGTATAGTGGACGAACCAGATGGTGCTACACTTATTACTGGATGTTGGATTTAATGGTCCCCTCCATGCCCATGCGTATGACTGAAGTCTTGCTTGTATTACATATTTAGGATTCATGAACATCCAGAGGGGAGCAGCAGGAACAAATGAAACCAGAAAGAGACAAAGAAAAGATCTGGGTTAACATCAGATGCTCTGTGGGCCTGTATCCGGGGTACTTATCTCTGAAATCTCATTTCAGACCATTTCCTCTGCACAATCCACACACAGACATAGTAACCCACTTGAGGTTCTCTGACCACACCTGCTCCCACAACCCCAGGCCTTTTCTCCTGCCATTGCCTCAGCTATGAGCATTCCTGCTCTCCTTTCTCTGCTCAGCTCTTATCTTCTTCCAAAGTCAATCTGTCAAGACATGACTCCAAAGCATCCCCTGAACACAAAGGAAGACTAAGAAAACCTGGCCTTGGATAAAGAGGGGTGGGTACACAGAGAGTGGAGGCATGGGAAGTGACAGAGGGAACTTCTAGAAAGCAATGGTCAGTGGCATCAAGAGTTTTCAAATACTCATCTAAGACAAACATTCAAAATGCCTACAGAATTTTATACTTTATACAAAATGGCCCATCATATTTTTTGCCAAGATGGCTTTACTGGTGTCAATTTTAGACAAAAAGTATACATAGTTGGATGGTAAAGATTGAAGCCCTGGGCTGGAGGAGCTGGCACATATGGAGAAAAATGGCAGAAGATGGTATGAGTCAGGGGATATTTCGCTGGAGTGAGATGATTCATCACACAGATGCCGCTGGATGGAGCCTGGCCTAGTCAGGATTCTGAAGCAAAGGAGGAGAAAGAAGGGTGAGTGGACGAGTCCCAGCTTGGAGGAAAAAGATCAAGGTGCATGTGGGAGTCATCTGAAACTGGAGGAGAGTGTGGCAGAGATGGGTTTGAAGTAGATGGGTTCATAGGGTCATGGTAAGAGACTTAGGGACTACAGTATTGACAACCTCATTTTCTCAGTGAAGTAGTGTCAAGTTTAGTATGAAAATCTCTCTGTCTCTCAGTCTCTGTCTCTCTGTCTCTCTGTCTCTCTGTCTCTCTCTCTGTCTCTCTCTCTCTCTCTCTCTCTCTCTGTCTATCTGTTGAAACAAGCCTTTTTCTCTGTTTTGGGAATATTCTTGTAGCTAAGCGTAAAGGCTCTAACTGGTCATTTTAAGGCTTGGCAGAAAGACTTAGCTAGAGACACTGCATTTTCTCAGAAGGAAATCTCAGTGGTGTCCACTATGAATTGCAAGGGTTATTGATTTTTTTAAAAGATTTATTTATATTTATTTTATGTGTATGAGGGTTTGTCCACATGTGTATATGTACACCACATATGTGTCCATGGAGGACAGAAGAGGGCATCAGATCTCCTAGAACCAGAGTTACAGACAGTTGTAAGACACCACGTAGGTGCTGGGAATTGATCCTGGGTTCTCTTCGAGAATAGCAAGTGCTTTAAACAGCTGAGCAATTTCTTCAGTCCTTGATTTTCATGAGGACTTTTTATTGGGAATACATGGAATATCAGAGGTCATTTCTAACTAGGGTGTTATGCCTCATGGACTGTCATGGGAAGACAAATTCTTCTGAAATTTCTCACCTTTCATTATTCAAACACATTATTTCAACATCTGTATTTCTGTACTATATAAATGACCCAAGCAGTCAATAACAGTACAACTGTGGGAGGGACCCATTGTACATGGGAGAAGACCTGAACCATTTTATTTCTTTGGTTGCATTTGTCTTATCCCTTAATAATGAGCATGAACAAACCATGCTGTGTTATCTCTAGTTAACTGTTAATCAGTGTAAGATCCAAGGGGTGTACCTTAAGATTCATGGCTTTATGTCTTAAATGGCACTATAATATGATAGTAAATGTTAGTAATTACTGAGCTATAGCTTAATGTTATTTATATGTTATAAGCCTCATTAGAATAATATCATTAAATCTTCATAATAATTCTAAGAGGTAGAAAATATTTCAGTCTTATTTTGTAAAGGAAACCAGTATCTGAAAGGAGGTGCCTTGAAGGCGGTGTGGAATACACCAATGTATCCCTTCTTATATCATGTCATCTAGTGTGAAATTAGCTTCCACTTTGGCTCAGCTGAAGCTTTCCTGTTTGTTATAAGGATTATAAAATAATAAAATGTGATTTGTAAGGTATCATCAAACACTCGTATCTAAAGGGAATATGTCTTTCCCGACATCACAAGTAAAATGTTTATACAGCTGACTGGCTTCCGGCCAAGTCGTATCTTCACTAAAAGGCACATGCCTTTATCTTTCTCAAACAATGACGGACATTGTTTTTCTTAACAAAGAAACAAAGAAGTCGCTCTGTCAAAAAGTTATTAATAAGGCTGGAGAGATGGCTCAGCCGTTAAAGGCTAGGCTCACAACCAAAATATAAAAAGTCATTAATAATAAGCAGCAACTCAGCAAAGCCACTTTCCCTGGTAGCTGAGTTTAATCCCCTTCACTTTGAATCACATGCTGTGTGTGATGCAAGGTGGTGTTGGGTAAGCGCACACATTACCACACGTTGTAATCGTGGCAACAATCATGGGTTTTTACCATTTTCTGATTGTCTAAGAAGTGCCAGTACTGTTTCCTAAATTCATCAGTATCAGACATTTCAACAACCCTGGGAGGGAGGTGGTGGTCTCTAGAGGTGGGAAGAATTGCTGGACGCTTAGCTGCTGAGATAAACGTGTCATTCATTTAAGGGGAGATCACAGACAAGAAGAGAACTCTTCATGGTCACTGATGTTCACATGCAAGCAGACTCTAGACGGTGGTATGCTCTTCGTTGGGGTTGAATGTGCTTCTCTGGAGATGGAATTTTTCCTAAAGGACAATGGATGCAGCTGGTGTAGCCACTGAGTAGAGAAAATGAGAAGGAACATTTGACCACTGTTTTTTTTTTTTTTTTTTTTTTTTTTTTCCCCCAAGCCTTATTAAAGGTCCTGGAAAAATATGTGTGGCAGTTTAAAACAGCCAGGTGTTTGGAGAGACCAGCTGGTGGAGGGCAGCTGGTCATGACAGAGACGGGGAAAGCATCTTGAAAAAAGTGGATAGCGAGCCCAAGAGAGGTCACAGGACAGCTTCCAGTGTAGGGGAGGCTGTTGACAGATGACCAGTTTTGTGGATGCATTAACTGAAGAAGTTCATTTTGGAAGGTGCAGGGTTGCTGTGGGATGTTCTGTACGGCAAATGTGTTGCTGATTAGTCAATAAATAAAACACTGATTGGCCATTGGCTAGGCAGGAAGTGTAGGCGGGACAAGGAGGAGAATAAAGCTGGGAAGTGGAAGGCTGAGTCAGAGAGACACTGCCAGCCGCCACCATGACAAATAGCATGTGAAGATGCTGGTAAGCCATGAGCCACGTGGCAAGGTATAGATTAATGGAAATGGATTAATTTAAGCTGTAAGAACAGTTAGCAAGAAGCCTGCCACGGCCATACAGTTTGTAACCAATATAAGTCTCTGTGTTTACTTGGTCGGGTCTGAGTGTCTGTGGGACTGGCAGGTGAGAGAGATTTGTCCTGACTGTGGGCCAGGCAGGAAAACTCTAGCTACACAGGGTCTCAGAAAAGCTGTTTTTAATAAGTAGAGATGGTCAACCAGCTCAGAATCAAGTGGTTCTTCTGAGGCTGGTGGGCCAGCATTAGCCATGTAGGGCCACTTACTGGGTGGGCTGCATGGCTTGATAATGCTGAACACCTCAAAGATCAGGTCTGGATTCCTAGGCAAGTCTCGTCATTGTAGATCCAAAGGATGAAAGCCTGCTAAAATGTGGACAAATGCAGTGTTTTTTGTGGAGTAATGACAAAATAATCAAAAATGCTATGTTTTGGATTCTGAACTTTCCATCTAACAAAATTATGTAAGAACCACTGAGTTTTATTAAAAAGGTATAAAGTCAATCTGTTTCTTCATCCTATCTTTATTCCTGCGCTAGTACCTTGTGACCTCACATTCCCAAGACAACAAAATCCTACCACCACCACCACCACCACCGAACACTTCTAGATTCGCTGCAGACAGACCCTCGTGTGCCATCCTCATATCCCCACAGTAGCTGAGAGACCTTGTTATCACCATTCTGCAGATGAGGAGGCTGAGTCATAGGCAGGGAACTGATATGAACAAAACTAAGAAAAGTTGTGTGACACAGAACGAACACAGAAGTTGGTCCTACATTGCCCGAACCATGCTGCTGGCTGTAGCAGCTCACGGCTGGAGATGGAGGTAAAAGGTACAGGCAGGGAGAAATGGGCGAAAGGCTACCAGGGACAATTCTTTTAAGGAGAAAAAAACAGGATAGCCTCAAAAGAAAAAAAAATTGTTATGAAATGGACTTAAAGTCCATAAAATCGGGCCAGTGTTTAGTTGTTACAGGGACAACAGAGTGGAGAACACCCTATGTATCTTGAGTTAGAACGTTCTTGCCCCGCATCCTCAAGTCCTCAGCTTGGTGATCATCAACCTTGACAAAGTCATAGAGCAGTAAAGAATCAGAGAGAGGAGGCAGGGTGGAGGCGGGGGCAGGGGCAGCCAAGGACATGCAGGAGGCCCAGGCCACAGAATGGTGCTGTGGCTCGTGTGGTGTGGCCATCTGTCATGGCCCAGAAACCCTCCGGGCTTTGGCTCCCAAACCTGAAAAGTCTCACATCTTTTGTGGGGCCCTTGGGGAGAAATGAAGCAGGCTCTCTGCCGTGGCACAGCAGTGTGTTGTTCCACATATGTTCACATTGGTCCCCTGTCTCCTGGGGGAGCTGCTTCTCCTTTGTACACACACAGGTACAGTGAGCCAGGCACAGAGCCAAGGCCACCCCTTACCCGTCTCTTCCCATCTCCCCACACTTGCTCGCTCTCTCCCTGCCCCAACACTGCTCCGGAAGCGAAGGCCCTCCCCTGCGCTCCTGCTCTCCTGCTCCAGGTAAGAGCTCTTTCTGTTCCTCTTCCTGCTGCCAGTCAAGGCAGGTGAGCCCAGGGGAAACACAAGTCTGCCGAGAGGTTAAAATCAGAGAGCAGGCTGGTTTGAAGGGAGGAGGGAGGCAAATGTGGTCTCCCCGTCTGAACTGCAGCAGAGGGCCTGGCTGCGGCAGTGAGTAGCTGAAAGGAAGTAGGGACATGGAAGGAAGCAGCCGCATGAACATTGAGGGTGCTTAGTGACCGTGTGGGCCTGAAAGCTGAAAAATAAAATGCAGACACTTAAAACCAGGAACCTGAGTCCTCCAAGGCAGCTTTAGATTCAATTCTGCCTTCCCTGCCTGTGTTAATTACCTGGCGCCACTCACTGTTAGAGTCCTTCACACAGGAAGTCGGAGGGTGTGCTCTCATCTCTCTGCTCCAGTGTGACCTTGAGACTCCCCGGTTCCTTTCCATTTCGCCTACCTGAAGAGAAAGACATTCTTTCCTGTCTCTCTCTCTCTCTCTGGGAGGTCACCATCAGGGTATGAGACAGTGCAGACAGGTGCGGACAGTCCAAGGCTTTAGAGGGAAAATGGCAGGATTTTTCCCCTAGCAGGAAATCACGGCAACCTCAGGCAGCAGTGGGGTGGGAGGGTGGGTGCAGGGGTGTGTGTGCACTGTGGACCCAAGCATGCTCACTGCAGCAGCATCTGCTTTGTTAGTCCAGCAGGTAAAGCTTCCAGACTGACCACCAGCCTCCAGCTGGGCTTGTGTTCTCTGTGTATTGTAAGATGGATGGCAGCTGTATGGTTTGGTGCAACAGTGACGCTCCGTGGAACTGCCCACTCTCCTTATCGAGGGAGCTCTCAAACCTCCGGATGTGTGTTAGTCTCACCAGTAAAGTGTAACAGGCCAGCGAGTCAGGTTAAGTTGATCTGGGTGTAGCCTGCTCATCAATGGTTCAAATTCACAGACAAGGATACAAATCAAAGGTTTAGAGATCTTTCCTAATGTCAAACTTAGGAGGCTCCCTAGGCTATTGGGCCAGATAAAAGGGCATGCCCTAGTGACATCCCTTCAAGGAGAAGGCACTGAAAAAATCAATGCAGGTCATTCTGTTAGAGGAGACGTGATTCAGAGGAAGCCACAGAAACCATCGGATCCCTTCCAGTTTTGTCCCGTCCTTCATCTGTTTGCATGAGGGAATATATGGTCCTTGTCTCTCAAACTCAGATACCCGTGGGCACTCAGGAAGCTGTAGACAGAGAGTACAGCTATATTACTAGCAATGTGTCCATTGCTAACCCCTGGAGACCCCACCTCTTGCAGTGCATGTCAAGATAGACACAAAAGCCAACCACTTGATTTTGTCACCCCTGATCTCCGGGTGAGTAGACTAGGAAGCCAGAAGATTGTGACATTGGAGAAAAGAATGTCAGTTGGAGTCACATGATCTTTCTGCAAATTGGGAAGAGCGGCTACTGTCAAGAGCTGACCTGATTTGGGCTCAGGAGTTCCCTTCCCTGTAAATCTATCAAATAGCATCGGTGGTGACACAGCGGCTTTGCCAAGCCTTGCTGTGTGTCCTGGGTAATCTGCTAAGGAAGGACTTTACATAGATTGTCTTATCTAATCCTCACCGCGGCTCCAGACAGTAAACGCTCTTTTCCTTCTGTTGCAGGCAGAGGAGTTGAGAGTGTGTGTGGTTGTGCGGACATGCTTAGCCATCTTGCTGTTGGCAAATGGGAGAGTCAGGATGTACAGCTAGATATATGACTTCAGAGTCTATGCTCTTAACACTCGGTTCCCGTACTTGGTGTGGAGACTTCCTGAATAAAATCCCTCACTTTTCTTGTTTTTCTGTTCCTTGGTTCATTCCTCAGAATCAGAACCTAGTATTTTTTTTTTTTTTGTCATTTAAAAATGCACCTTTCTCTAAGAGTTTGCCCGTGTGTGGGTGGAAGTCAAACAGGAGCCGAAGACTGAAATTTTTCTTTATGCAATGAAATAATCCCGGAAGGAAGCAGCAATAGTAAAGAGCAAACTCATAGAGTGTGGAATGTTCTCTTGTGTTGGCTCCATCCACTTGCACTGCTGTTTTCTCTGCATTGAAGACTCGATTTTGTACTTTATAATATTCCATTCCTGTTTTAACCAATAACTGTTACAACACTTGCTCATTTTGCAAGACATATTTGAAAACATTCCCAGTGCAATCAGTAATGGGTTATGTGTAACAGGCCTGGACATCTGTGCCTGTCATTACATGGATATAGTGGAAGGAGGCATGGGCAAGAGAAGGCGTGAGCTTTCTTGACCTTGCCTGTCTTCCTACTGAGCACTGCAAAATGGCCAGGACGAGAGGACAGCGAATGTTTTCCCAATCGGTATCTGAATGTGTGTCCGTAGCCACTCCCATGACATATCTTCCAATGCCCATTATCTGACACACTCGTTGTGACTCTCCAGCTTCGCAGACCTGCAAGTGCATGCTGAGTGCATGGTGCAGGCTTCACAGTTACCAATGATTGCTCCATTGTTCCCAGAACCAGACGTGGAGGCTTTTCCCTGGCAGAGAAATTTATCTGGACATTACAGAATTGTCAGTGATCCATTCTTTGGACTCCAACTTGAACTTGCAATGGTGTCCCATGGATTCATGGAATCTCTGGCACCTCTGGAAATGTGTTGCAACTTCTGCATCTTCTGAGGTCAAAAAGCCCAGTATAAACAAATGTCCTTGACGCATGTGTTTCCTTTTAAAGGTGTTACTCTGCTGAGCCAAGAGTGTATTTTACTCTCTCAAGTAAAGCACACAGCACCGTCTTTCCGGGCCCGCGGCTCCTCTGCTTTTGGACTCTTGGACAGAAGGGCGTTGAGAGGTCCTGGGAGGAGGAAAGGACATGTTGCTCTTGGCAGAATAGCAGGTGTGGTGGTCGCTGGCCTTGCCCTATGGCAAAGTACACATGGCAGGATGTGGCCGCATCCTTTGATGAAGAGACTGGGTTTTCCTTCCTTGTCATTATACACTGTAATTTATGTCATTATATCTTTATTTAATTATAAATTATGACTAAAATGAAGTTTGGAATCGATGCAGAAATATTTGCAAACCCTAGAGTGAGCAGGAAGTTTGAGTGGTCCCCAAGACTCTCTCTTCCACGTGTGAGCAACACAGCAGGATCACATTTCTCTGACATTCCGCATGCCTACTTTAGCCACTGAAGTGTGCATGGAGGGGAGTGTGCTTTCCTGGGCAGACACAGGAAGGGCAGCCTCTGCTTTTTTGTTTTTCTTTAGCATGGCACACAGCTTCTCCACCAACCAGGTTCCGATCAACATCTCCTTAATGATCCACATGCACTTCTACAAGCATCAAGAAATATATTCCTATTTGAAGTTACAAATTTGGGTATTATTGGGATTATTAATGTAGCCTTATTGATCAAAAAACATTTTGTTTAAGGCTCCTTAATGATGACATACAGAAATGTAAAAAGGAAATTGTTTCAGGGCAAAAGAATTGATCTTTCTCTTTTCTCTTTAAGCGATTGTCTGGGGCTAGTAAACATAGGAAAGGATTGAAATGATGTTGCAACGCCCAGGCTGAAAGTTTCTGCTCTTGATTTTCATTTTTATTGTGGTAGATATATGCAGCATCAACTCTGTACTTTCTACCCTGCTGGGGTTGACCACTTCAGCTACTCCATATAAGGGGAGTTACACTGTCCCTGTCCATTTTCTGACATAATTACTCAAGTGCAGACCAGGTGAATAACAAATATAACAGAATTGTTTGCGTTCATGGTTCTAGTCCTCCGAGCTCACAGGACTGCTGTGATGGGCTTGCTGACACATGTCCTCAAGTGATACAGAGTCTCTCATGCTGGGAGATCGGGGGCCTACCTGCAAGAGAACTGGTTAAATTGGCTACTCCTGACATAACCAAGTAGCCCCAAACCATTAGCTACTGAATGAAGTTATCTATCATCTCTGTGGGTGCTGTATCTTCATATCACCAAATGGAGTTTAAAGTGCAACATGGGTTTTGGAGGGGACACAAACAAATCAGATCATGTGCTGTGTGTCTGTGTCCAGTTTATTTAAAGCATTCCCTTCCTCTTTTTCCTTCTTATATCTCCTTCTGTTACTTCTGTAACATTATTAGATTCTGGGTTTTTTCTGGCAATCATATGTATGTATTTCCAAGTCAATGTTTGCTTCAGAAGACAGAGGGATGACAAAAATCTGCCTTGAGGACTGCCTCTGGCTTCGGGGGCAGTGTGGCCACATGCTTTCCAGGTCAGAGGTCAGCAACCTTTCCACTTGCAATACCAGAACTCCCAGCTCTTCTTTTTCTTGGGTCAGTGGTTGCAGATGCTTTCAAACCCAGAGTGACCAGGTCAGCCCCCTGCTGCTAATGGTGTGGGTGTGGGTGTGGGGGTGGGGGTAGGGTGGGGTGGGGTGGGGTGGGGGCTATCCTATGAGTGGAAGAGGAGAGATGGTGTTGATCATTTTAACAACACAGTTGGTGTAGGTTGGGCTAGTGGCAACAGATGGTTATGGGTCAAGGCATGGTGATCCAAAGCCATGGAGAACCATCCTATGGATGAGCAAAGATGGAGGGAAACTTATCCTTCTTTTCAATAAGTTACATGTCAGAGGTTGTCTGGGGATGTTACACCTTTTCTACAGGTTGCTTTTATCCCCCCCCCCCCAGAATTTCATCTGTTAGAAGCATATATGTAGTTACAGGAAGACATGAGATAGGCAAGGGATGAAGGAATGAGACGAGATGATATCACTTAGAGGATGTGAATCTGAATGCACTGATAACAGTTCCTGATCTCTGATGGGGCTGGGGCAGGTGGAGAGCCTCAAGAGGGATAGTGAGCCTTTAAGATCAGTGCTGGTGTGCCTCTGGCTGCTGCGGCCAAAGAGGTGGAGGGGAGGCTAGGGTAGTGGCCACATTCCTGTCTGGTGACCATGTTGAAGTTTTCGTTTGGAAAAGAAAAGAATCAGAGGCTGCTTTTTAGAAAGGAGGATGGGAAGTATTGTAGTGAAGGTCTGAGTGGGCACAACAAACCAGGGCTGTTCGAGTACTTCCCCATCAGGCATCACCGTGTGTCAGGCATTTTACTCCCAGATAGAGGGCTGTGACGGATATTCCAAGTAGTGGGGATGGGACAGCCTGTGCAAAGCCCTGTGGGTGGAAGAATCTTAGTGAGAATGGGTGTGGATGAGAGCTATTTGTGGCTGGAGTGGGGAAAGAGGGTGGGAGACGGTTTCCCATGGGGAGCAGCAGGAGCGGCCGTGAAGGGAGTATCTTGATGGTGAGGGATAATGTCGTCTCATTTCCCCCGTAGGATGTACACATCCTCCTCTGACCTTCTCGGCATAGCACTTTCATGAAGAGTTTGGGTTCTGGACTCCAACTACCAAGGTAGCCCAGTTCTCCCACTTACAAGTTACTGTGGTAGTTTGAATGAGAGTTGTCCTCCATAGACTCGACTCGCCTTTTTAAACACTCACCTTTTAAAACCCAGGTTGGTGGTGCTGTTTAAGGAATGTGTTAGTTACTTTTCTGTAGATCTGATAAAAATACCATATCCACGGCAACTTACAGAAGAAAGAATTTCTTTGGTTTATGATTTCAGAGGGTTAGAGCCTGTAATGGCAGAGCTAGCACCAGGCATCAGATGGAAGGCGTGGCAGCCGGAAGAGGAAATGGGGAGCTCACCTCTTGAACCACAAGCATAAAGTAGAGGGACCGAGCTAGAAGTGTAGAGCGCACCTCCTGTTACATACTTCTTCTGGCAAGGCTCCACTACCCAAACCTCCCCAAACGATGCCATCAACTGGGGACCAAGTGTTCAAATGCCCTAGATTATAGGGGGTTAATTCTCACTGGAACCACTTTGGGGAGATTATGGGACCTTTAGGAGGCGGAGCCTTGCTGGAGGAAGTACATGCTTTCTGTTTTCTCTCTGCTTTGTATTTCTGTTGAAGTTGTGATCTCTCAGCTTCCTGCCACCATGCCTGCCACTTACTGCCCTTGCCTCTCTGCCATGATGGACCCTTGCCTCTCTGCCATGATGGACCCTTGCCTCCCTGCCATGATGGACCCTTGCCCATCAGGAACTATGAATCAAAATAAACACTTTTGTCTAAAGTTTCTTTTGATCATGGTAGGACACAGAAAAATAACTAATACAGAAGGGTAAGCGAATTATTTAATCTCTCTGGGTTTCCATTGCTTCTTGTGTAAAATGGAAATCTGTAACCGGTGGCTTTTCTCTGTCCCGTCCTGTCCTGCTGCTGCTTGTAAATAATCACTCAGAGGCTTAATATTAATTACAAATTGTTTTGCCTATTTCTCAGGCTTATTACTAACTAGCTCTTATAAATTAAATTAACCCATTTTTATTAATCTATGTTTTGCCATGTGTCATGTGGCTTTACCTGTGCTCTAATACATCTTGCTCCTCTGGAGGCTAGCTAGTATCTTCTCCCTGTATCTCTGTTTGGATTTCCTGCCTGGCTCTATCCTGCCTTGCTATAGGCCAAAGCAGCTTCTTTATTAACCAATGGCAATAAAATATATTCACAGCGTACAGAAAAACATCCCACAGCAGAAATCCACCAGCACCTACTTCATGCTTGTCAGAAAATCAAATAAGTTCATAGCTATGAAATCCTGGGGACAATGGGAGGCACTGATAATAAGCAACATATATATATATATATATATATATATATATATATATATATATATATATAATTTATTATTATTACTATTTTATTATTTCTACTGTTATTGTCATCCTATATGGGCAGCATCACTATTTATTAGATGTTTCCCAATCTGTTTATGAATTTAAAAACTCAATTCCATTGTATCCAGGCTATAAAAATGTTTACATTATGGGCAGACAAAACCTGAAGAGGACAAGGTAACTTCAATGTCCTTCTATAAGATGGAACTCACTCTTCAAGTAAATTATCTTAGAGAAGTCCTCCTTCAAAGTCGAGAGACTAAAATGCTTTCTCTTTTGCCCAATGGTGTTTGAGATTTTTGGAAGAGAATGTTTTATCAATATGGATTCAGGTGATACTTAGGCCTGACAAAGAGCAGAACTAACCCCAGGTCCTTTTATCACTGTATCATTGATGCCACTGGGCCCTCGAAGGGAGCTTGAGCCAGGAGCAACCTTAAACACTAGCCAGTCATTTGTTCTGATTTAATTGGCTGGTGGTTCATGTTGGGGGGAAAAAAGAGCTGCCAGCTTAAAAAATTAACAGACAAGCAATTAATTTAACTGAGACACTCCTGTGAAAATCGCAAATACCATCTGCAGCCTCTTGTTTGGATGATAGTAATGCATTTTGCTGAAGTATTTTTTTTAACTCTTTCCCCCCAAAATTAGAGTAATAAGCATCTTCACTTTGCAGCAGTGGCTTGATAGCATGGTGAGTCACCCTGCCCTCCCTGTGGGCTGCACTCTATTATTAAACAAACAAACCTTTATTGAAAGCTCAGTGTGCACGAGGCCTTGTGATGGATGCTTTTATGTGATGCTTCATTTAATCCTCACAGTGATTATATGGAGTCTTGGGCTGCTGGCCTTTGGACCCCATCTCACCCCTACTCTGTTCTGTTTTGTGATGCAGGAGGGGTGGCAACCTCCTCTGGTCACTGGCTCCTGGCAGGGTCTAGGTATTCAAAAGCCCTGGGGAGGTAAAGGGTGCAGGTTAGAAGGAAGCCATGCTGCTCAACCCCTCTCTCTGTCTTGTGATGATCTTCTCTATGCTTCCACCTCCCATGAGCCTGGCAAGCTTGGTTTTAGCTCCCACTTGATGGCTCCTCCTCAGATTCTAATACCATTTCTTCCTCCCCTGTTTTCTCCAGTCAAGGATGATGATGCTTCCTGCTGTGATTCTGTACTGGATAGATCCATTATCTGGTCAGGCCAATAATCAACACACCCAAATAAACGCTTTTCTGTGTGTATCCTCGCTATCAAAAACATTTGAAGGGGCAGGAGAAATGAATTAGCAGTTAAGAATGCTTACCCCTCTTGCAGAGGACCTGGGCTCTGTTCTCAGCCTCCCTCTGGTGGCTCAAAACTCACTGTAACTCCAGTTCCAGGGCATCGGATACCCTCTTCTGCTCTCTGAAGCCTCTTGTGTGAGTTATGGTTCACATAAACTCACATGGGCTCACACACATACACATATGTTGAAAAATAAGCAAACCTTTAAAAACATTTGAAGTAATGTATGTGTCCTTGTTTAGAGCCCAATTGTTATACTACCATGTAATTATATCTGACTTTGTAACAGATGAAGAAAGTGTGAACCATGCAGACTCAATATTATACCACTGAGCCAAATATCCCAAGCCTGCCAATATTCTAGTCACATGTACTTTCCTACTACTATATTGTGGTGGCTACATAGTTCTCTAGGAAGGAGAAAATCTTAGTCATGGGTGAGATCTCATCTGGATCATCAATGTCATGATGGGTTTGTCTAGTTAGCTCAGCTACATTGTGATCTCCTCCTGCACAGTGAGTCTGAGCATCGACATATAGCATCTCGAGAGAAAGAAATATGATGCCCTTGGACACCAGGTCTTAAAGATACCCTTTTGTAGATCACTCTAGTGGTCACTTTCCACTGATTAAGAAATACCCACAGCTGGGTACTGCATAAAAAAAGGGGTTCATTTAGCTCTCAGTCTTAGAGGCTGAAAGATTGTGTAGCCCCAACTCTCTGGCCTCTAATAATGGCTTCATCATGAATGGCATGATGGCTGAAACATGTGAAGAAGGGAATGCCACATACGGTAGGAGAAGCGAGAGAGTAATAAAGGGGCCATCTTGTTCTTCTACAACAGCCCATTCTAAAGGGAACCACTTAGGGTCCCACGAGACCAGCTTCATCCCTTCAAAGGTCATGCCCCCCATGACTTAGTCTCCTCCCACTAGGTGCCACTTCTAAATATTTTACCACTTCCCAGGATGGCCACACAGAGGACCAAGTCTCTAACTTGTGAATCCTTGGGAGGCCAAACCTTTAAAGTTCAGTCCTGTGGGAGATTTCCCACAAATCTGTACGGCTGCCCAGCACTGACCACTCACCCAGGACACATGATGAATTTTTGTTTGCTTCAACTTGAATAGAAAATAGAGACCTTTGTTTTTTTTTGTTTGTTTGTTTTGTTTTTACCATGAGTCTATTCAGTATCATATTGGTGACACTCTTAAGTTTTAGTCGAGTTCCATACATGATCAAATACTTTGGGCATTATCATAATTTTAGGCTTGATTTTAAATTCCTTGCATAAGGATAAATCATAGGGTGAATTGTTTTGTTATTTTTTATTTAAAATACTGATGGAATTGTAAATAGCTTTAATTTACCTGTAGAGGCTCCTCTTGTGATGATGGTGGGAGTCTAAAGAGGATAAAACATTTAAACCAGAAATTCTCTGGTTTCTGAATTCTTTTCTTCAGTTGAATAATAACAGTGGATAGAACCAAGTAGTAGAAAACATCAAAGTCTTGATTGTAGTGTGTGTGTGTATGTGTGTATGTATATGTGTATGTATGTGTGTATGTATATGTATGTGTGTATGTATGTAAGTATATGTTGTAGCCGGAGTTTTCTCAGCTCCTGCCCCCCCCCCCCGGGTCAGGACAAATCTCTCTCACCCGCCAGTCCCACAGCCGCTCAGACCCAACTGAGTAAACACACAGAGACTTATATTGCTTACAAACTATATGGCTGTGGCAGGCTTCTTGTTATCTAGTTCTTCTATCTTAAATTAACCCATTTCTATAAATCTACACCTTGCCACATGGCTCATGGCTTACCGGCATCTTCACATGCTGTTTGTCATGGCAGAGGCTGGCAGCGTCTCCTGACTCAGCCTTCCACTTCCCAGAATTCTCTTCTCTGCTTGTCCCACCTATACTTCCTGCCTGGCTACTGGCCAATCAGCATTTTATTTATACAGAGCGATATCCATAGCAATATGTGTGTGTGTGTTTGTGTACATTCATGTGTATGCACAAGCAAGCCTGCATGCACACGCTCATGTGTGCTAGAAAAAGTACTTAGCCAGTAGAGCAGTAAGACTTTGAGAAAGTAATTAAAATTATATTGGTTAAACTTCAAGATGTGATTATAATACTGTTATATATTGCATATAGATGATATATACGGCATTGGTGTTCAGAAAAATGTCAGTACTAAGTACGCCACGTTGACTTCAAGCTGAGAGCACCAGGGAAAAATGGGAAGACTTTATCTAAAGTCCCCTCACGTTTCTCCAGATGTGATTTGCTACCAAGAAGCACAGTTGCGGGCAATCTTCCTGAAATGTCATGAGCCAAGGAAGGTAAAGTTGTGGCATAGACAAAGAGGCTGCAGAGCAGATACCACAGCTAGAGTCCAGAGGAACTCTATCCCAGGCCTCTGTCCTCCAGGCTTGGTGTCTCCCCTAAAACTCATGTGCTCCCCATCTACGGCTGCCTGCAATCTCAATTCCACTCTCCTGTGTGAAGAGGGCACCGAAGCCTCAATTGTCTGGCATATTACATTTCACATTCTACACGGCTCCCATGTGCATGCCTGTGTTAATAAAGATATATGCTCAAAGAAATATGTCTGTTTTTGTTTATTCGGCAGACTGAATTGATGAACTGCAGTTATTATAAAGTCTGAATGACTTTATAATAACACAGCTCCATATCATAGCAAAGGAACAGGGTTGAACTCAGTGACATTGGAACAGGAGTCACTGGAAGCTTGAGATAGTGTGGAGGTAGGATTGATAGGATTTGATTTTGATTGGTGTAGCAGGTGAGCAAAGGGAGAGAAATTAAGGATGATTCTGAGACTTGAAGCCCCTGAGACATGGTTTTCTCCCACTGTATTCAACCCAAGTAACTGTCTACCTGTTGTGAGATTTAAAATCCCAGGGGACACTACTTGATGTGTATTGTTGCCTCTTGGAGTGAGGAGCCCACGGCTCATTCCCGCCTGAGACTGGAAGCAAGTAACAGAGTCTTCACTGTTAGTGTCACCGGTCATATCCTGAACCCAGGGCCTGTGGAGTGTCTAGGGACCTTGCATTACTCCTGATACTGTGAGGGGCTCCATACAGACAGGTTTCACAGACATGTTTTACATCTCTAGAGCATCCTCACCTTGTAAGGATGCAGGGCAAGAGTACAGGTGAGGTAACTGTCTACCTGGGTTCACTTTGGTCCTAGGCAAGCCTTTTAGGGGGACTTTCACACCCAGCATTCCTTGCAGGCCCTAGGGGCCGACCACGTTCTCCCGTGTCCTTGGCTCCTTGACCTGACACTTGCTTTCACTTCCTCCTCCTCTTCTTTCAGCGCTCACATTGCCTACCTCATGCTGCTTGACCCCCTTTGAAGTATTACATCATCCACCCCTCCTTCCCCCCAGGTCTTTATTAACAGAAACTCACAGTATAGCCCAGCCTAGCCTTGAAACCGTGATCCTTTCTCCCCAGCCTCCAGACTTCTAGGACCATAAGCACAGGCCAGCATGCCCACCTTTTATATTTTTTTGATTTCCTCATATATTACAGTTACTGACCCTCTAATCTTTCCACCTGTGTTAGTCCTGTTGCAAACCCCTTGAGGGAAGAACTACCACCTACTCTTGGTTA